TAATGGCTCATCATCCTGCGGCGATATGGCCAATTCGGTTAACGGCCTTCTATTTATTATATTTTCGGCTTCTATAAGGGTGCTTCGGAACGTTTCTAACCGTGGTGCCTCTTGCTGCAAAACGTGTTGTAATAGTCGCTTGACGCACTGTACGAGGCGCTCCCAGAAACCGCCTGCTGATGGGCTCGCAGGGCAGTTGAATACCCACTGAATTTTGCGTCTTGCCATTTCGCCATCTATGCGGTTGAAGTCAAACAAACGTTCATTTTTCAGCTCTTTCTGGGACCCCACAAAGTTGGTCCCGTTATAACTTCTAATTGTGATGGGGACTCCTCGACGGTTTATGAAGTTACGCTGGCACAGGATAAACGCGTCAGTTGAAAGCTCATCAGCGATCTCTAAATGCACCGCTCGTGTCGTCAAGCAGGTGAACAACGCAACACATCGCTTTTCTCGTCTTCGTCCAATTGTTACATAAAACGGACCGCAATAGTCGACTCCGGCGTACGAAAACGGACGAACGTATGGCGTTAAGCGATCTAATGGCAACTGGCCAATAAGCGGAATCGCTGGTTTAGCTTTGTTGTAAGCGCATACCGGATACTCCCTTTTCGTTGACTTAAGTAGTGAGCGCGCACGCGGTACCCAAAACCTTTGTCTCATTTCATTGATGGTTAGGCAATAAGTTTGATGGTGAAGTTGACAGTGATACTGCTTCATAATAAGTCGTGTAACATGATGGTTTTGAGGTAAAATAACCGGGCGTCGAGCTGTAATAGGCAGGCAGTACGCGGAATCGATTCTGCCGTTGACTTTTAGCAGACAATCGCTATCTAAGAACGCTGTCAGCTGGTATATCGCACTCGATTTCGAAAGAGACGTTTTCCGCTTAATGGCGTTGATCTCTTCAGCAAAAGAGTCGTTCTGAACTTTTCGAAGAACGGTTTTCTCGTCGTTGGCAAGCTCTATGGCATTCAGCTCTCCACTTTGACGAGTACCAGATATAGCATTGTAGAAAAATCGGAAAATCCAGGCCACAACTCTAGTGATTTTTAAAAACATGAGTAATTAGTAAAGTTTAAAGCATACTCGCCAGAATTTGACAGCAATAAGACTCGTCCCACGCATTCTTCCGAAGCGCAATGGTCGGATGTCAGCTCTGGTAACTCCTGTGGCCAGTGCGATGTGTCTTGGTAGAGAAACCCTGGTGCCGTGAACCACCTTGATTGTGTTTCGCTCTCAAAGGATGAACAGGCTCGTCTCACCTCGTCAGCGACGTTCAGCGTTGTCGGAATCCACCGCCATTGGTCCGCAGATGGTACGCCTAATATTTCGGTTACGCGATAGGCGACAAACTGCTTGAAATTTCGGTTGGTTGAACGGATCCAGAGTATGACAGTCTTGGAATCACTCCAAAACGTAGTGTTGTCTACTCGGAAATCATGGCAGCGTTCAAGCGACTCTTTAAGGCAGCAACCCAAGACTGCAGCCTGTAACTCCAAAAGCGGAATCGTCATGCCGTCTTACGCGCAGATACGCCACGGCCGCATATGCGCAGGAACTGGCATCCACGAAAATGTGCAGCTGTATGTCCTCCGCGACTGGTAACATCGCGGAATAGCACGGTGGCACCCAAAAGACGCTTTGCGGACTGTATGCTTCTCCACCACTTGGACCACTGCTCTTCCAACTGATACGGTATCTTTTCGTCCCACTGAACTCGTAGCTTCCACAACGATTGCAACAACAATTTCAAACCTACTGTTACGTTTGCCAGGAGACCAAACGGATCGTACATGGAC